ACCTAAATCCGCCTAGGCCGCCTAGACTGTGCCTAGCCGCCTAGGCGCTAGGCGCTAGTTCACCGCCTAACTAGCGCCTAGCGTTTTTTAGAACCTTGATGCTGATTTTTTTTTTTTTAGGGTTACGTACCCTTTAAAACGTTATCATTTTGACACATGGCATCATGATGTCCAACTCAAGCAAAATTTTAATTGAATTAAAAAGAAATTTGGAAAAGAAAACGAGAGAAGAATGAGTGTGTATGTGACCTAAGAAGGGGACGTGGCCTTGTTGAATGAGATTTGGAATGCAGGAGCAAGACCAGAAGCCACAACCGTTGATGATGGAGATAGCCATGACGGGAACGATGACCTTCTCTGCCACATCAATTGCGAAACACATGAATTCATCTGTTATGACACAACTCAAAGGAGGACAGCGAGTGGTGGTCGAACCATACGACTCGTCGTTCCTTGTGGTTAGGGTTATGAGCAAATCACGTTGTTTGGGTTAGTATTTGAATAATGGGCTAGATTGAAAGAAGGCCTAAAGATGTCAAAACAAGGAGAATCTACCCGAAGCCTAGCATCAAGCCCAAAAGCAAACTGAAGCATTCTCAGCCAAAACATAAGCCACGTGTTTATGAAGGAAGTGACAAATGATGGAGATCAACCTACTATCAGCCAAAAAACACTTTCTACAAGTAAAAAGCTGATGACTCACTACCCTACCAAATTGTAAAAGCACTAGAGTTCCACCATCACCTTAACAATCCTATGTAATTTTGCTAACTACTTATGAATTGCACATGCAACTTTGAATGTTACGTTTTTCTAATGCATATTTTCCTCCTGATATGCAAGTAAGAACGTATATCTAACATTCAATCTGTCTGTGATATTCAAATCAAATGTAAACATGCATGACTCATTAAAATTTGTGAAAACCCTTTGAAAACCATGCAACACCTAAGAGTGTGATATTCGCCATAAATGAAATTACAATTATCAATCATAAGAAGCCATAGTCACTCCTTCGGTGATATTGCAACCGAATTGCATCCAATTACTTATCTAAACATCCTAATGGTGATCAAGCACTAAGAAATAAGAATAGTTTAAACGCAATGATTAATAATTCAAAATATGCATGCATAATATCATAAGCAATTAAATAAAGACTGCCTATTCATGCTAAGGCTCATGGCCTCACCCTAACAAAAGCAATTAGTTATGCACAACCATACAACAAATTATTATTGAAAACATAGATAAAAAAACACCTGGTAAATAAACTTCAATCATCAAAAGCTCTCTAAGTCGAATTCTCCAAAGTAGTGCGCAGAGAACCCTAATGGCTAAATAGCCTTAGTTATACTAATACAAAATAAAATTCTTTCCAGAAAAAATTCTTCTAAAAAGTAGAAAACAAATAACTTAAGAGAAACTAGGAAACTTAATCCTAATCAAATATGGAAAATCTACCCAGCCACAAATCAGTCACGTTTCTGGAGCTTCAAGGTTTCAAAACAAGCCCAAAATGACTTGAATTAAAGATTAGGACATCCTCTCCAAGTTCCAAGAAAAGCCCAAGACCAAAAACCATCATCTTCCAGCCTAAAAGTTGCAAATAAACCCAAAAAAGATCATTTTGTCAGCACTGAGCGCTGCTCTTTTATTTCATCGCCATAAAGTATCCACTTGGTAAAAAATTCTGAAACTTTGCTATGAACAAGTTGAAAGACTAACGAACAACCTCCAATTAGAATCACTTCAAAATTCATCCGTTTGATTACTTTTTGCTTAAGAAGAAGTCAAATGTGGTACATTGAGAATATAAATCAAAGTATCAAAATCTCACTAAAATAATTACTAAAATATACTAAGAATAGGGTACAATATATAATATGAAATCGACTCATCAACAGTCCACCTTATGGAGACCGGAAAGATTTACAGAGACATTTCGGCCTTTAACATTGAGTTGAGTAGAAATGTCTGCAAAATTTATCATGGCTTAACGTTGAAGTCGCTTGTTGGAGGGTTAAGAGAGTTTATAAGGAGTTCATGATTCTCTTTTTTAAATAATTAATAGTACGTACCAAACAGGTTTTTATTTTCACAAATTGTTGGCGATATAGTCTATGAGCACAAATCTTTAAAATGACATGTTCTTGTTTTAATTCTCAGAGAATGTTAGAGAAATTATTTCAGAAAACATCAAGGACGGGCCCAATTATTTCTTATCTTCGGGTTTTCTTGGTGTATTCAATTGTGATTTTGATGGACTTTAAAAGAGTTGATATTTTAAATGGTATTTAATCAAGATTTTTAATTAGCTAGTCCATGAAAATATAAGAGTAAGCAATCAAGATTTTATTTATGATTTGCCACTTAGTACTATGATCTAATGTTATTCCTATTCACTTATAAGTAAGAGGTATTAAGTTTGATTGTTGCTAAAGTAGAATTCGAACCACATTATTACTAACTCATTGTGAGGAAGAAACATAACCATTCCTTTCCGCCATCATGAAATGATGACATTCTGTTTCTCATTTCAGTTTCTATTTCACTTTTATTCATTTTTAGGTCAGCACTACACGAAATTATAATGAATTTTAAGTCCTCGTCTCGAGGAACATAAAAGAACTTAATCAAACCAGGGTCCTACTCGATACACAACCATTTGGTTAAAAAGTCAAATTAACGCTCAACCTTCACACACGCACACACACACTTAACACACAAATATTGTCTGTTGGCAGCCTTCAACAGTGGCAAACCTATTCTCTCTTTCTCTCGAGCTGTCTCGTGGCATTGAGACCGAAAGCAACACTCGAGATAAATACATGTTAAGCTAGTCTAGATTCTATCCGAGTTTTGACACCAACATAGATGATCTTAGTTAAGAAATATATAAGATGACAAGTGGGAGGCGCTTTTTACTTCTTAAGAATTTTTTACATAGGCTTGCTCATCCTTTTTCTGTCTTCGTTAACGTTGTATTATGTTATTATGTTTATTGCAGTTGTTTGTTAGATCACTTGAATAAAATACGACAAAAAATACAGTATTTTTATTGAAGATTTGTATGTGAAATTTCAATCAAGAAACAAGAATATAGATAAAAGGGAGAGAGGAGAGAGACTTGATCCCCATGTACATGTGCAAGAATCCACAAACTCTCCTTGATCCCCATGTACATGTGCAAGAATCCACAAACTCTCGTTGGTTTTCTGTGCAAAAGAAATTCCTCTATTTACAATTAATGGTTGGTTTTGGTAGATTAGGAGATGATAAATTAGGAGACCACAATCTCTTAAGCATTGCAATGATACATAACGTTCAGTGATACGAATTTTACAAAAGATCTAATTATTGGTAAAGTTCATTAAATCATTTATGCAAAATCTAACTGACGATTTTCTAGATTACTCAATAGTGCATACCATAGAAGAAAATTTGATGAATAGAAGCATGTCTTGGTTCACTTCTCCTTGCATAATGTTGCCAAATCTACAAACCAAAAGCCAAAAAAGTCAAGTGAAGCTTGGAGAGGAGAAGCTTTTGCGGTCCTTGTGTTCTTATTTCAGCTTTTCACTTTAAGTTATATGCTCTTTAGTCTTTCCCCTTTAATCATGGACAGAGAGATCTTGCTTTACTATGCACAAAAGGGCAAATACCGAATGAAAAATGTAAAGACCGCCTACATGGTAAAGTTAATTGGAAGAGGATGAAGGCTATGGGAAAAATTTTTGAATTTAACACTTTTATTTTCTACTTATGACTCTTTCTTGAGTTTTGAGCTAAAACTAATGGTCGAAGAAGGACAGAGATCCTCATCGAATCTCACTGTTCGGAGCTCAAAGACCAGGCAATCTGCACCATTCAAACAGAATGTGACGGTCCCAATTTAGGACTAAAAACGAGAAGTAGCTTATAAGAAGAAAATGAATGTGAAAAAATCAGTAGAGGCGCCTCAACAGTCTTCTAGATCTAGATTTATTTTTGTTGTAAAAAAAATGAGAGAGAGGGATTGAATGACCTCAAATTTCAACACTCTCACATGCACGGACCAATTCCTGCTAATAGAATAAAGGACATGTAAAAAAGCAAAACCTCCAATGAAATGTGGGAAAATAACTTGGACTGATCTTAATCTCATTTTTCGGGATTCTTACATTAATTTTCCTTTCTCTATTCTCTTTCCATTTCTTTGTGTCTTGTCCTTGTCACATTCCAATCTTCTATTGCTGGTAAATTGTATGTATTCCAATTTGGGAATATTGGGTAGCTTCATTCACACTTTTAGTTTCTTCTTCTGTCCTCATGTTCTTTTTTCTTCAACGAATTTGGATCCTATCGGGATTTTACTATCCGAAGTTTAAAGACAAAAACTTACTTTGACTCGATTATGTTAGTTTGAAGGTTAAATCGAACGCATCTCAATTATGACGTTACACTAATCTAATGTGTAGCATGAAGTCTAAAGTGAACCCCAAGTGTAATTTGATACCTAAATTGAACTCGATATGTAATTTAGTCGTAAATTGAACTCGATGTGTAATTTGAAACCTAAATTAAACAAGAATGGACAATATTCCCGCTTATATAAGATACAAACCAACCAGAATGAGGCAAACGCACCTTTATCTTTCTTTAATGGTTTACATAATAATTAGAGATGTATACTTTGGGCTAGATCGTATAAAGAAAAGAACAAAGGTTAAGTCAATGTTAAGGAACCCTAATTCCAAATAAAACCAAAACAAAGCAAGAAAATCCCCTAATCCTAAAACCTAATCATACGGCAGGCGCCTAAAGCCATAAGCCCGGCTCCAATCAGAGCGGTCCGCTGACGTAAGCCAGGAGTACTTTTCGGGACCCACACACATCGTAGGGATCCGTGACAAAGAAAGAAGTCGCCTTGCGGGACCCCCCCGATAGCCACCTCACCCTACAATGATGTGACCCCCTTCAACATCATAGCCTCATACCCACACACCCTTCACTCCATCTCAGCCGTCCGATCAAATAACCCCCGCTCTCTCTCCCACTTTCTCTCTCTAGCTCAGGCTGAGAGAGTCAGCAAAATCTCAGTGACAGTGTGAGAGTTAGCAGATTTGTCTCTGTCCTCTCTCTCTCCCCCCTCTGAATCCTCACCTCCTCCGCCTCCGGTGGAACGAAAGCGCACCGTTTCCCACGCACACGGATTCCACGAACAGCCGGATTGAACGGACCGCAACAGCGGCGGCGCTCGCGGCTTTTTTCTGGCGGTAAAGTTCTTTTCTTTGCTTATAATCTACGTCGCTTCGCGGTTTTTTTACTCTTGGTTGTTACGTTTCGGATCTGTATCGGAAACGCCGCGTTTCGGCAAATGCGTTTCGTTGCTAAAAGAACTTGTGCTTTCCTTAGTTTCCAGAAAGTTCGTCGCGAAATTTATTAGCGCATTTGGAATTCTTTTGTGTATTTTGCGCTCTGGTTGGTTGCCGAGAAAGTGGAGAAAATAAAAGGCTTATTTTGTGCTCCGTTTGGTTGCCGAGAAAGTGGAAGGAAAACAAAAGACGATGAATTGTTTTAGCTTGGAATGTCGCTGCTTATGGTTAGAAACTTGCGAAAGTAAAAAGCTTTATCTTGATTCTTGCGCGTTTTGCATTTTCCTTCGTTTTCTTTGCAACCAAACAGAAAATAAAAGCTTCAAGTTTTTTCTTTTTCTGTTGTTTGGTTGCCATTTGTGTTATGCTTTTTAAGATCTATGAGTTTCTTGCTGTCAATGTGGCATTCATGTGCTTTGATCTTGCATTTAATCTTGGAAATTCCATATTTGTAAGATGAAATAATAGTTTCATAGAAATAGTTATATTTCCTTTTAGACAGATCTCTTATTTTGTTCTTAATCTGTGACAAAATTGGAATGTGATAATCGTTTTTCGCTGTTAAACTGCCATCTGAATTTGATTCTTCGAACAAAATGGTCGAAATACCGGAGTCTCTCAACTGTATTTTAGATCCCTGATTTGGTACCTGTGCTTAGGATTTGATTAGGGGAAATGTATCTCACATCAATGTGATTATTTGCATTTTTTTTTTTCAGAATTTAAGGTTGGATTAGAGAGAGAGAGAGCAAATTTTCGCAATGGTTTCCTTGGTAATATTTGAAAGTGAAGCTCAAAAGCTACAATGCAATCGGATGTATGTCTAAGTAGTCACTTTGTAGAAATAGAATCTGCTGTTGGATATGGGATTCAGTTTAGAGCAACGAAATAGTTCAAAAGAGCAGAACAGGTCCAGCATAGAGGACAATGTTGTACAGCCCCAAACAAGTCGTAGAACAAGGCATATAGAGAAGGCGAAAGTGAGAACTGGTGCTGGTTTGAAGCAGAATGATCTGCATCAGAATGCAAGACAAGATGCAGGTGATGGTGCTTCAGGCCAAGAAAAATTTTCGGGAAATCGATCTAGAGAGAGTATGAAGGGGAATAATGCAGGTAAAGTTGATGAGCTTGTCAAGCACATGTCAAACTTGCCTGGTTATCTTCAGCGCCCTGAGAGAGGAGAAAAGATCCAAGAAAAGGTTTTGAATGTTGGAGTTCTGGATTGGGGTCGACTAGAGAAATGGAAGCACAAACAGAAGCCTTTTCCCGAAAAAGGTAGCGGTAGTTCATCCTCAGAAAGGACTACTGGAAAGTCTACATCATCTGTTGTAGTTCACAATGGGACAAATGCTGAAGAACTCTCTTCAGGTTGTTCTAGTCTCAAGTCGTCTCAAAAGGATGGCCTTTCGCAGGGTGTCAAACCATCTGTGCATAAAGATGTGCGCTTCCAAGACTCTAAAACTGCTTCGAAGAATGCCATTTATGGGCAGAAAAAGATATCCATTCCCTATCGGTCCCTTGGAAGACATCACTCAGATATGATGCTCGATAAGGGGAAGGCAAAAGATTCAGATCAGAAGTTCACATCAGAAACGGGCAATATGGCAGCAAACTTGAAAAGCTATGGAGTCTCTCTCAATCAAAAGCACGAGATGAGCACTAGGCATGGTCGAGCTAAAAAAACCAAGGACCTGCAAGAATCGGATATCAAGAGGAAGGATATTGATCAAGGAATCATTACGGAAAAGGGAGTTCCTTCATCTAAGCTCGAAGGTTTTGATGTCTCACTCAGTTCAGAGGGAAAGACAATTGCTTGTCATGGTAAAACTGAGAAAAGGGTGGAGGAGCTGCACAAATCAGTTACCAATCTAGCTCATCAACACTGCCCTTCTGCAGAGAATCCCGTTGTTGTCTCACCACCAAAGGAACTACCCCAAAATGACTTTCCAGAGGTACTCCAGCTTTCAAAACCAAGAGCATCATGGGATGAGTGTATGGCAGAAGCTGATAAAATTAGCTTCTCGGGCAACTTTTCGACCAAAGAGATGGACTTTGCCGAATTCTCTTCTGAAGTTTCACACTCATGCCCACTGTCTTCTGCAGTTGAGACTAATACAGCATCAAACATGTTGCTAAATAGCACAATCAACGGTAACAGTGTGGGGCTTTCCTTTGTTCCATCTCACATGCGTCGATGCTCAACACAAGACCTCCTCTATGATGATAAATTTGTACATAAGAAAAATTCAGAGAAAATGCTTACCCGTTCAAGCTTTGATACTTCGAGTACATTGGATCAAGAAGATGTTGAACTGGCAACTAGAAAAGGCAGAAGCCCAACTCCCATTCGCCGGTTTAACTTCAGCTTAGGCCGGCTTGGTAGAAGTCTCAGTTTTAAGGAAATTTCAGATATTCCACAGTTGAGTTCCACATATACGACGGTCAAATCAGGTCCTGTGAGATCTGGAACTTCTGATTTTCCAGATAATCCAAACAGAGAGAAAGCAAGTACTCATAACCGAGCTAGGTCAAGCCCGTTAAGAAGGCTACTAGACCCAATATTAAAGCACAAGGAGGCAAATCTACACCATTCTGCTGAAGCTGTTAGACCCCCGAAATCAAATTTTAATTCCTTGGTCCCCAAGCCAATTAATATCAGCGAGTCATTAGAGAATCTGAAGGCTGAGGCATCATGGGTTAAAGCTTTTTTGCAAATAACAATCAAGAATGGACTTCCTTTGTTTAAGTTTTGGGTTGACAACAACAGCAACTGTTTTGCGGCAACCATGAAGAATTTATCATCCGGGAAGGATGATTTCTGCCAGTATTTTACATTTTACTGTATTAATGAAGTTAAGAGAAAAAGTGGTGGCTGGATGAGTCAAGGAAGTAAAGGCAAAAGTTGTCACTATGCTTACAACATTGTTGCTCAAATGAAAGTTTCTAGCTCTGACTTATCTGATGTTAACGGGCAGGACTTGAGCAAGTATATGGTAAGAGAGGCTGTTTTGTTAGATGTTGATCTAACACAAGCAGATCAAGAATCACCTAGCGTTGTACCACATAGGGAGCTTGCTGCTGCTGTGGTCAAGTTACCTAGGAAAGACTTGAGCCATCCTGAACAACAGAGTGATGAGGAAGTTATGGAGAAGGGCTGCGCGAAAGGTTCATCCGAGGATTACAGCTGGGAAGATAGTACTATAGTCATACTTCCAGGTGGAGTCCATAGCTCACCGAACACAGGAGAACCTTCACCATTACTTGACCGTTGGAAATCTGGTGGGTTATGTGATTGTGGAGGCTGGGATGTTGGTTGTAAGCTGCGTGTTCTCTCCAACCAGAACAAATGCTGTCGGATTCCAAAAACATCCTCCGCATGTTACCCTTTTCCAGAGACTTTTGAACTATTTGCGGAGGTATGATTTTTGTTTCAGCGAAGCACTCTATCTATATCACACAATTGATGGTGGTGTTTTAGCCAATTTGCATGTTGATTTTGTATTTCTTTTCAGGAGGGAGCTCAGCAGAACAGGCCAATCTTCAGTTTGGCACCAGGGAAGGATGGAAGCTACTCGATTGAATTCAACACGTCACTTTCTTTATTACAAGCGTTCTTCATCTGTGTTGTCGTAATCAGCAGTTGCAGACCATCAGATCTTTCAGAAGTTAGTAACGTGTTGGAGGCGAAAGAATTCCAGGAACCGAATCTGAATCGAAGTAATGGAATCCAGGTGACAGGTCCGGCAAAGTATGCTCCAAATCCACCCCTGTCACCTGTTGGGAGGGTCTAGCTTTGTCCGAGGAAATCCTTTTTGCTGTTCGAGTCCAACAATCGATGGTTTCAAACACAGCGGGAAACATCTCGTAGCCAACAAACCATTGTCGTGTGAATCCATGGATGCTCAAATTTTTTAGGGTAACTTGCATGTTATTACAGAAAACATGTATGAGTTCGGCCGTTGCTCGTTTTGTGCTGCTTTTTTACTGCATTACCATGTGTAAAGGGAAAAAACTCAAAAACCAAACTTCAACATCTTCAAAGAATGATGGTGTAAATATGCCTATGCTAGGGCATTTCAGATATGATAGTACCAATTCTCCATGCTTATCAATTCTGTTTTAGATGACGCCATCGGACATTTTACCCATATTGTGACTTCAAGTCATTACGTGTAGAAGGAGAAAATAGGCGTGCGGAAATCATTTCCTGCACAAATTTTTTTAAAGTAAAGGTTCTCAAAACCACAAAAATGTAGTTCAACTGAAATTTGAAAATGCAATATAAACCGTGAAGTTGTACATTATACATGCATTTGAGTTTGTAAAATTCACAAGTCAAGAACTGAAGCATGGTGAATACAGATAAACCATTTACCATCAATTTTCTCAAACACATTTGTTGCAAACTGTCCACCCCAACTGCTACCCTTTGTCTTCACCAACTCGACACAAGAAACATACCCGACATCCCCTCTAACGTAAACATTAACATCTTTCAGCTCAATCTCTAGTGGAAATTCGTAGTTTGCCCACACGTAGTCCCAGCTAGTCATAACATCTTCGTAACCATAGATTCCACGAGCACCCGGGTGCACGCAGCAGACTTCTTTCCTTTGGGCCCAAAGGGCTTGCATTGCAGCTAAATCCCCAATCCTGAATGCCTCGTAGAACTGTGCGTTTGCTGTTCTAACAGAAGTTAGACTGTCCTGCATCAGAAGTTTGAGGCTATCACGAATTTGTGCTGCTTTGGCATAGTCCTCCTCTGCAATGGCAATGTCTAGATCACGCTCCAAGGTTTGCGCATCCAATACGATGCTTTCGCCACCGCTTGAGCTTTCCTTTGAGTCATCGCCTATCACATTACATGGTCTTAGGGGCCGCAATCGAGAGGCCTGAACAGAGGATACTGCACTGAAAAAAGTAAGAATTAAAAGTATTCAAGCTGATGCTACATCGCATTAAACGTCAATGGACTCCATTTATGGATCACGCCCTAACAAAGGTGCTCAAGAAGAGCATATAGTTTATTGTTGCAGGGAAAATAAACTTACTGGATTCTTCAGTTCGCAATTTGAGCTGACGATAACCAGGAAAGAACGGAACTTTATGCCCCCTTTCGACAGTCTTTGCTACAACTAAGTTGTTTTTCCTTGAATAGGGTGAAGAAGGAGGATGAAGCATCCCAAAAGTATAAATACAGGAACACGGCAAGCGATTAAGCTCTCCACGAGAAACATTTCCCTAAAACGTACAGATCAAAATAAGTCTAAATCAAACCAACTTGAAATCGGCAACGAAATAACAATGTAAGTAAATATGAAGGAAATCGTCAACAAATTCAAACATATTCCACTCGTTTCTTTCGTAATCTTCTAAAATCCAAAATATGAGATTCCCAACACTCAATCATAACATGGAAATTCAGAATCAATGTGAGCTCGTTTCACAGTACAAAGATCAAAACTTGAAATTATATGCATCCGACGCAGACGTGAGTTAGGCCAGTTGTCTAGGGCAAAGTACCCGCCACATTGCACTAGAGTTCGAATCTCATCCCCGTAAATTAGAGTAGTTTGAAGCTAAATAAGTGCTCTTGGATTAATCATTATTCATCATCCACTTTGAAGATAAATACAATTGAATTTTAGCGAATAGAAACTTAATTAAACATTATGAACTAATATATCTCAAAACGGGGAAACATACAGAGCTAAATACAAATTAACGACATTGATAATTAACCACAACTCACATTTAGGCAGAAACCAGATCCATGAAGCGCCATGATAACAGAAGAATTTCTGCAATCCAAGCACAACCCAGAATTATACAATTAGAAATATGAAAAGGGTAAGGATAAGGATTTAGGTTTAGGGCTCAGAGCTTAGAGCTAGGGTTTTGAGCTGTCAGAGCTCCAGCTTTTAGGGTTTTCGCAGAGACGAAGTTCTGCAGGAACTGGAAAATGTATAGTATGGAGGGCACAACAAAATCGGCCCAATAAGAAGATATAATGGGCCAAGCAAGGGGCCCAAACTTTAGCCTGCTTTGGACCTTCCAGAAAAGAGGAACTTTCCAAGAAACTTCCAAGGCCGAATAACATGTTAGCTTTATCGTGTAATGGCTCCAGAACATTCCAAAGATTGGTTAATAATTACACAATTAAATAGTAATAAACACGTGAATGTCCACCATTTTCCTTGTCGATGACAAAATTGCACCATAAAAATAGCATAAGATATATTCACTTGCTTTGTTTTTTGTTATCTTTTTCTAGGTAATTTCAATTGCTCGAACTTACTTCATTGACAACCAATTTTCTTGTTATTTTAAACTTGTACGTAGTTCTCTATTTTATTTTAGTTCTTTAAAAATTAATATTTTAAGGATTACTTTAAGGTTAAATTTTTTCATCTCTAACCATGCATGGTTATATTTTATTACTTGTTAAGGTCAAACTTAACCTACCTTGAGGCTACATGTTTGCCCTAGGGCCAAACTTAGCATGATTCTTTTAGTCCGATTTTTTTAGCCCTTCGGTTGGGGACTGATTTTGAATATTTTAGGGCTAAATGTGGCCTATAGCTCTTGAATGATAATGCCTAATCCCATAATTTTTTTAAGGAAAAAAAAGGGACCAATCGGTGATTTCACCATGCCAGTCCACCCTCCTGGTGATCGAAAATACTTCTAGAAGCATTTCAGCCTCCCACTAACAACCATTGTGCGATTCACCAGCAGAAAAAATCAAATTCAAGACATGCCGTGTGGAATACGGACCTGAAATTCGTCACTAACCACTTGCCTAATCCCATATTCCAAGATTTCTGTCTAATCGAATTTATGTATGTATATGTTTTGACCAAGTAACTTAATTGAGTTGCTCAAATTGTACTCTGCCAAATGTCAATTATGACATTTTGGTAATTGAAATACTAGATAGAGCATGGTCCTTGAATCAAAAATTAAAAAAAAAAGATAGAACATGGTCAAAACTGGAAAACTATTGAACCTTGAACGGAATGAATGACATCTGGTAAACGGAGATATTTTTGGCTATTTTTGTAAATATGTTATGTATGGCAAACACTAGATTGTTATTGTTGATATATATCTGTTTCTTTAAAAAATTATCATGTGTCATTCAGTAACACTTTATTTGTAAGTAAAAAGTTTTAAGTTTGATTTTTGTCAAAGACGAATTTAAATTATAGTATTGTTGGCTCATTGTGAGATTAAGTCCACTATTCTTCATTAATAATATTTTTTGTTAAAAAAAATGATCATGAGACTTACAAGAGCGGAGCTCGCATAGGCTCTCGTGGGTTATAGCTTAGTGCAATTTAAAATAAAAAAAATTATTGTAGAGGAAAATAATTTGACAGAGAATTTCATATATTACAATGTGAGGCATAGTCACCTTTATATAGTAGTGTGACTATCCTGGAAAATTACACAAATACCCTAATTCAATAGAGAGAATTAATTGTCTAATCAATTGAGGAATCAATGGCCTAACGGTTACACCAATAAGTAGTCAGACATAAATATCCTTCTACATTTGAAATTACTACTAATATTTCTTTTGACAAACGATATTATCTACTAATATCAACACTAAGGGGAGGGGTAGGTTAGCCTCACAATGAGCTAGCATAATGTGATTCAAATTTGTCTTTGGCGAGAATTGAACATAAGAAATCTCACTTATATTTGCAATTAGTACTAATATTTAGTCTAAAAGAAAAACCAAAATCTTATCCCATCTTAAATTTACTCTACACTTTATGCTCCAGCAACATGTAAATATTAGCCTAGTCCTATATAAAGTGGGAAACAAAAAACACAAGTATTTAGGGTCTTATACACCCTTTTTAATTTATGGCCATCGAATTTGATAAATTAAAAAAATTAACACATGATTCAATAAAAGTGTGTGAGAAGATAAACCGGTGTATATTAACATTTCTCAATAAATTTCTAGTTTCATTCTTTACTTGGTCAGTGCTGTAAGCCATGTGATGAGTCATAGAGATAGAGAGAAAGGTGGGGAATCGGGATGGGGATGGGGATGGGGATGTAGGTATCTACCAAGCAATTTTTTGGCAGGCAATGGGATGTTTCATCGTTGAAAAGTTTTGGGCAAAAGAGGGTACTCATAAGGAAAAGCTTGTAAACTTTTTACCCTAAATCGTGGAATTGCAGAGTACGTAACAAAGACATTTGTTTTGGCAGTAAATTGAGTATTCATTGTGCACCAACAAGTGGTTTCTTAAGTGGTCCTGGTTAAAAGCCCCTCTGACAGTCTGACCCTTCAATCCTTTGGTTGCTTGCCTTGCCCTGCCTAGCTTTGACACCAAGAAGCTGATGAAACCTAACAAATGGAGGACTAAGACCTAGTTTGAGAGTGAGGTGCTTAAAAAAAAAGCACCTATGAAAAAAAGCTGTGAGGGTTTTAGGTGTTTGGTAAACTGAAAAAAAAGGGCTTATGTTGGAAGCTGCTGTGAGAATAAGCTGAAATCAAAGGAAAAAGCTGAAGCTGCTATTTGCAGCTTTGGAAAACTGGCTTTTTTTCAAAGCACATGGAGCTACAGTGCTCCTTTAATGAAAAGACCCACTATCAGACTGTTTTTTTTTTCAAAAGTACTTTTACAAAAAAGTTTACCAAACGCTCTGCTGCTTTATTTCACAGCCGCTTATTCTCACAGCACAGCCGCTTATTCTCACAGCAGCTTTTTTTCAAAGCACAGCAATACCAAACCAGCCCTAAATCATTGCCCATTGAACCACATGTCATCAATGAGCCAATAACAAGCCTCCCATAACTCTAGGGTTTTTTAAGATGTATGTAAATTGTCGACGCTAGTTATCAAAGTGCAGACTACAATGTAACAAAATTATAAGTTTGAGTAACATTACCAGAAAGCTATTTGAATCGCATTTTTTACTCATCTCCGTGTCTTGACAAAAAAAAAAAAAAAAAAAAAAACCAAATTTTTGGAAGCAGCTCTCAGTTGCGTTCGATTTTTGGTAGTAAGCAAATTAAGGACATGGAATTGGGATAAAAAAGGGTAGCGCTATCTACTCACCCATTTTTGCTTATAACACATTCTTTTAATTTCTGATCTTTTGATTGAACGAATTGAAGAAGATGAATGACAAAAAATTAACATGTGCGAGATAAAAATGAGTATGTGAACTAAAAAAAAAAAAGTAGATACCGGAGTCCTGGGTCTCATTGACGAGAAATTTTTTATTGTGACTGGAACACGAATGATACACCACATGTATTTATAGAAGTGGTGAGAAATTTTATTTTTTAAATTATTAACTTTTTAATACACATATCTCATCATTTGTATAATAACACGCGATATACTATTTTGTATACCGATCACACTGAAAAATCTCTTCTCATTGACGTGGAATGGAAGTAGAGATGCAGGGAGAGATGAGAAAGCACGTGACACGTTGCAATCACGTGGAAGAAGCCGCCTTGGCCGTTTATTGTCTTCAACCAGTTCGTTACACATCCCAGCCCTCCTTATTTTAGTCCATTTTGTACTGCCCATGCTCATATGACCAAACTACCCTACGCGGCTATGCCAAATTACTCTCTTTTCTTTTCTGATGCCCAATCAGTGGCTTTATTACACTATTTGATTATTCTAACGCATTACTTGGTCATCTATTTAACGGAGTGAATAAATTAATTAATATCAAACTCATTATCTACGAGATTTGATATCAAAATTTTACACTTATAAGTGAATAAGTTACTAGTAGACAGTAATACTAAACGATAACTTACAATTTACACAAGTTCTAGCAAAGGTCACACACTCTGTGTGTTGAGAAATATTTTTTTTAAATATATTTTTTTCTTATGAGATGAGTTATTTGTTTTTAACAGGTTGCTGGCATCCAAAAAAAAGGGTTGGCAATTAGGAAAGAGAGAGAGAGAGAATAAGTGGAGGGTATTGATAGAGTGATATAGCTGTGAAGTTTATAGAAAAAAAAAAAGTAAAAACTTGTTTTTACAAAATTACTTTAATGCCCACATTTCTTTCTAATATCTTCTTTCAGCTTTGTATTAAAGGGTATGGTAGTAATTTTATTAGTACGAAACTGAGCGATATACTAATTCGATTCCACCAATCATTGCCTCTTAGGTCTATCTATCATAACATTTGTATTTTTATCGTCTTTTTAATGAAATTTATCTTTTCAAACTAAAAAAAGATGGCACAAGCAAATAGAAAATTGATGCAAAAGTAGAAATAACAACAATCCCATTAATATGTCAGCAGCAAAAAGAAAGAATGAAGAAATTAGGTTCCTCCAAACCAGAAAGCTCACTGTCGAATCTACCTATTTTATACAGGGGTTGGTAATTTACACAAAAACAGGTGAAAAGAAGTTGTTGGAAGTTAGCGGGTACCAAAAAATCTCCCAGTCAGACGGACATGCAAAATATGCTATACCATTTTACTTTTTTATTTTATTTATGCGCTGTACCAACAATAAATTATGTTTTTGTTATGTAGACTTCAAAATTAACCCCCAACACCAATCAACCCCCACTGACCTCTTGGCCTTTGCCTAGCTTGAAACGGCATGGCATGGCTTGGCTTCCACATGCTCTTGTTTATCTCTCTCTCTTTTTCTTTTTCTTTTTTTTTGAGTAGTTCTAGAATCTGGTATTCGGATTACGTGTTTGTGCATCCTAATGGCTCGCCACCTCCTGCTTTGAGATCACCACTATCTAATATAATGACTTTATCTCTTAACACGAGATTTTTCAATGTGTTCACATAACATAGTGATACGCCACAAGTGGAATGAAGCTTTTTATTTTTAAGTGTCCCTTCAGTTGTATAATGACATATTGCGCATGGTCCGCGTTCCGCGTGTTCAAATATCCCACATCAGCAACATGAGAGAGAAAAGAAGAATTTAAATATTCTAATA